AGCCGTTTGCGGGCCACCGGCGGCGTGGGTGGCACAACCCGGTGGTGGTTCAGCTGGGATGATTTCCGGTCGCCGGCAGCCGCAGCCGAGGCTGCGTCCGGTTCCAGGCCGGCCGCGGCAGCCGTCCTGGCTGCCGATTTTCGGCCAGCGTACAGAGCCGCCCGGCTGTAAACGAACTTTCCGACGGCCAGCGCGGCAAAACCGACCAACGCCCAGCAGAACAGGTACATGATCAGCGTGTCCATTGTCTTACTACCATCGCTTTCGAAACTGCATATGAGATCGTCGATGGTGTCGGCCAGATCACCCATGTCGGGCCATGGCGTGACTTCCTCGGTGTAGTTGTTCCCCGGCCCGGCGTCCGCAACAGTCACAAGTTATTTATTAATAGAGACGAATTAATAATAATATTATGATTGTTATCGCGTTATTAAATAATCCTCGTCGTCAGGTTTCACTGCAGCAGTCTACGGATCGTTTCGCGTTCGACGGATCGTTTCGCATTCGACGGATCGTTTTGCGCAGAGCCGGCGGATCGCGCGCTGTCACTAGCGCGCTGCGGTCCCTGCGGCAGCCGTCCGGAGGTGAMGTCGCGCAACGGGCACGTTAAAAATAGAAACGCAGAGCCGCTGCCTGCCGCCGCTACCGACCGATCGTGTCAGCTGCACCGGCACTGACGACACATCGGCCACTGCTCTGCAGACGGCGTCGGCGGTATAGGGTTACAAATTATTTTTCTCCGTTCTTCCGGCGACCACTTCACGAGCCACCAGAAATAATGCCAACGCGAGGCCACCGATCGAAATTATTATTATTATTGTTATTATTACTATACTAACGCCGTCGTAATGTTGTATGTATGTTATTATATAAATAAAAACCAGCCTGCGCGTGCGCSTCCACTGCTAGTGAGAAACATCGACTCTAACCGTAGGAACGCATGTATCGTGGTTAAAAATAAAGCCGAGTTCACAGCTGCTACGCGACGTCTGACACATCGCACCTAGTCCAAAAGTCGAGCCCGTCCAGACTCTGGATATTTCCCGGTTCATCGTGTGTATATTAAATACACGCTGMCATAACGGCCAGTAGGAAAAGGCACGAGACCGACGGACGCGGGACGACTGTGTGGGTACCTAACACGTGGATATTACCATCTCGACACACTATTCGCGGAGTGCGCAAAGACAGCTAAACATTCTTCTGGATAAACAAGATATTCAGTGGCATAGTTGTGCCTGTGGGCCTTCTTTTACCTTGACCCTCCGAAAATTATACTGTTGTGATTGGGCAAAAGTATAATTTTGACCTTCTYCCCACTCGTCCAAAAAAGATAATCTGAAATTGATATTTATAAAATAGGTACATAATATGTTCTAAACCAAAAATAAATGCAATACATATTATTATTTWAAAAAATACAAATATAATACTTTTTAAAATAAAAAAATTAAGTTTTTGTCATTTACGCCTCTAAAGATATTAATACGAATTGACACGGTTTTTGTGTAGGTATACGCACATAAAAGATAATCTAAATCTCCTGTATAGAGATAATATTATGTATAAAATTAACACTGTCTTGCTACTTATATGATTCGTGAATAGGAAAGTAGGAATCTACCTCCGTGAAAAAATAAACGGTTGTGAAATTGTATTTTAACATTTTGAACTAACCAACTGAAGTATTCATAATATTATGTCTGAACAAATTAAAAGTAAACATAATATATGAAATTTACATTTTGTTGTTTATAAACAATTAGGTATATTTTTATTTTAATAATTATTTTTATTTTACTAGGAAATATTAGAGACATAATCTACGTATATTTATTGAATTTAAATAAAAGTATTATTTAAAAAAAAACAATGTAAAATCAATGATGCAAGTAATATGTGTACTACAGACCACAGTTTTATTTTATTTTTAAAGCCGAATATTAATCGTGTAAAAAAATATTGATAAATAGTTAGACTCTTCGTTCCAAAAACATATTTATAGCGTGGCCAAGCAGCCTAATATCACCCTAGATCTGTGTAGTATACGGGCAAAGCTATATTATATACATGGTATTTAATCTAGTGGTTCCCTCTTTGAAAGATTTCTGGCTATGAGACTGTATGTTTTATATTAAGTATAAAAAAAATACAAGTACATTTTTACCTATTTTCATATCTAGATAAATTAAATAAATTACATAACATATTTATTATATTTATTTAGATTCTTTTAGCATATTTATACATTATTTTTATCTAGATAAATTTCTATGAATAATTTATTATCGTAATCTAGATAATATTTTAGTTATCTACTCCCAAAGCTGTCAATGACCGCTTAGAAGTCTGACATATTTTTCACGGACTTGCGTCTCTTTCGTCTAAAATGTGTACATTTTCTCATACACACCACATTAAAAATTAAATTACCTAACTTATATAACTGTAATATCTTTAAACGATTTGCTTTGAATTAACTTAATTTAAATAACTTTAAAAAAATAAATTAGTTTAGTATTTTAACTTTCCTTGCTATTTTCTATTCTAACAATAAATAAATAAATAGATAGATAATAGATATCTGCAATGTACATAATATGACCCAAGTCATATAATACCATCTTTAAAAAATAATAACAATTTTCCATAAACGAGGTTATTATCATTTATATGTATTTTAGTATCATTTCCTATCATTTTCAGGGACATAACTATCCATTTAATACCAAAATATATTATTTAAGTAGTAAAATATACTATTATAACTAGATACTTTAAATTTCCCATCGATTTTATAATAAACTTGGATATGGACTTTCTAATGCCTTTTTCGTGATCAAAATGTATTATTATTATTATTATTATTTTTTTTTTTTTGATATCCCACCAAACTTTCAAATGACAGAACAAATATCATGAAAATGTAAATCAAATTATTGTTGAGAAAAAAAATCCTTGAATGAACGCAATGTTAATATAATATTATTTATCCATTTTTCAAAGAATAACATCATCATTGTTAGGTAAAACAAACTGGTTATCATTAATTTTTACACCTGAACTTGAGAATGAAACATAATCATGATATACGAAATACCTATAGTAACACCTATAGCTAGTCCAACTTATTTGGGACCAGTCGGAATGAGATGGTTTKAAACAAATAAAGTTCTTGTGTTATCCAACCCCAAGTTTATTTGTATATTTAACAGGATGGTTTTTGACATTTTTAAATGCATGAGGGCTGTTTAACATGCATATACAACGTATACCTATTGTGGATTTCTAATTGATTGTCAGACTACTGATGTTTTACTATACTTGTAGAAAAGCGATGCCAAAGCTTATTATATAATTTTAGCTTAATACTTTTAATGGATGCATAAGAATATAGTTTTGACATAGTTTGGAGTGTTTAATGTTTATAATTTGATTACTAGGTACTTCAAACTATGGAGATAATATGTAATATGGTCCCAAAGTGGCCTCTATACTTAGACCTTACTTTATTTCAAGTTTCCTGGTCGCTTTTATATCTTCCGAATGTTGGATCCAGGTAAAAAATAAATATATTTTTGAATAATATTCTAGAACATACATACACTTTAATTTAACCGATCTGTTTAGTGCTTGTATTCCAACTATAAACGCTGTGATAAATACCACGTGATTTCTACAAATAACTATTACACAATATAATTATTATTTGATTATATCATTAATTGTAAAGGAAATTACAACTTATCTGTTTTTCAGTTTTAAGCTAATCGTGTGCTTATTTTTTTACCAACCATTTGAACAGGTAATACTGATAATATATTAAGATACGCCATTAGAAAACATAATGATTAATAAAATATAGCATGTTGTCGAATACTACGTGGGTTTTTCGACATTCTCGGTCATTTCTGAGCATTCCCGGAAATAGCACATCCCTAAATCGTTTTCTATAATATTAATTGACGTCGTCACAGAGACAACAAACTACTACATATCCTATATTTTTGTGTGCAATTTTTTCAATGTCAGATGATTATCGTGAGACGAAAGTAGGTAATGACAAACTGCTGGAGGGTGACAAATAACGCACGTGCACTAAAAAAAGTTTCGCGTAGTCTTACAACGTCCGTCGTTACATACAGTTTTCTTATTACATACAACTTTTCGTTTTTTTATAAGACGTGAACACGAAAAACAAATCACCGTGGAATGTGACATTCGACCGCGAAAACCACGGCAAAAATAACACAGGGTGATTGCCGCACATAGGTGTAAAAACTACTGCGAAGAGACTCATTGGGCCTACCGACTATCGTATGCTGAGGTTTATTACAAGTTCATAAATACAGGAAATGGTTAATTCCTACTAAAGTAGCTAATATTTTATGCACAAATACATAGTGTTTATTCCAACACGAGCTACAGTATTAACTCCTTTACAAGCTTTTATCAAAAAGCTTGTAAAAATATAATGCAAGATTTCTCATACATTTTTATAATTAAAAAACATTAATAATACACATAGCACGATTTTTATTCATGTAGATTATAAGTCAATAATTTTACAAAATTCATCAAAATCTCTAAAACTTTCAGATTATTTTTTAGTTACAAATGTATATAATGCTTAGATCTCATTTTGCTAARAATTTTAGTAAGTTCATCTTCTCCTCTAAATTAAAATTGATCTCAAAGCTATATAATATGTATATTTAATTATTTCCTGACGCTCAATTTAATAAAGAGTTTCAATAACTAATTTTTAAATTTAATTATTTTACAAGCTTTTTATTTATTTATTTTTGTATTTCTGGTTATATGTAVTGGTGTCAAAGAATTTCATTACATTCAATAGTTTTTATCTCCATACGTAAGTAATTCTAGTTACTAGGATATTTTTACATTCCCGAGGGGGAGGGTAGTAAATACATCCTAAGTGAAAATAGTAAATACACTAGTAAATACTTACCATTCAGGTGATTATACAGGGTGATACATGTAAGACACCCATTATTTCAAAAAGTATTAACATTTTTTAAATATCAAAATGTTATAATAGTCTAACATTTTTCATACCCCTTATTATTTTAAACCTTATTTTTGTAAGTGAAACCACTATTAACTATTAATTTTTAAATTACAACCTATGAATAAAATGTATGAAATGCATACAACTATTTTTTTTATAAATTTTATAATTAGCATTTTAAATTTTGAATAATCCATCGGAAAGATGCTCTTCAATGTTAGATTTTTTTATAGGTGCTATTGTATTTTTTGTTTTTAGAGATCAGAAGTTCACATATTTAGTCCCAGTTAATAGATAACTATAGTAGTGGTATCTATAATAAATATTTATTTTCATACTAATAAAAAATGATAAGACAAGACGTTATATCCTATTCATGTCTTTATTCAAAGATTATTAATTTGTATAATTGATCAAAAATTAAGAAGGAAAAGTGTAATCAAACACAAAAAGCATCTCCTATATCGGGCTATATGGTATTTTGAATTGGCTATGTCTCGAAATCTATTGAATCGAAATAAAAAATTCAAACACAGAATTTCTTGAAAAAATGTTTTTATAACTTGTTGGTATWGCAAATATAGATATAACCATTTAAAAATCCAAAGTTGGTTCATATTTATCATATAACAAT